ATGGTAAGGGAGGGGGGTAGAAATGGGTCGTGGGCCCAATAGGCCCGAGTTTTGATTTGGGTAAGATGAGTTCCAGGCGTTAGAGCCGTTAGGATGGGTCCGTTGCATCGAGCTTCTTTGTCGTCCACGACCTCTACCCCGAGAGCCGTTGCCTCGCCCGCCGCCGCGTCCATAGCCGTTGCGCTGTCCGAAGGAGCCGCCCTCACCGTAGCTGCCGCCGTGCTGGAGCCCGCCGCCATGGAAGCCACCGCTGCCACTGCCTCCGTGCTGGGAGCCCCCGTTGCCGCCGCTGGAGGACTACTGACTGCCGCCGTTACCACCGGGCCGGCCGGCAAGGAGAGCCGTGCCACCCGCTTCAGCCATGGGAGAGCGTTTCCGGTCCAATAACATAAGGGCGGAGCGGGCTTGGAGAAAAGTGGGTAGCGGGTCCTGAAATTGAAAAAAAGACGTCTGGGCCTGCAAATCTGCGGGGAGACCACGAAGCATCTGAAGAACCAGTTGATGTTGGGACACCGGGGCATCAACATCGTCTAGCCAATCGGCGAGATTTTGCCGATGCTGACAATAGGCCGCCATAGTGGTGTTGCCTTTGACGGTGGTGCGGAACTCGTGCTCTAGTTGCATGGCACGAGCATTCTTGTTGTCGTGAAACAGATCATGAATAACTTTCCAAAGAGCAGAAGCAGTGGAGACAGAGGAGATAACCAGATCTGAGACTTCGTCGGAGATGGTGGACAAGATCAATCCCTGGAGGAGAGCGTCAAGTTGGAGCCACTCATCGTCGTCTTCAGAGAGAGGGGCGATGGAGCCATTGATGTAGCCTTGGAGATTGAATCGGCGAACCAAGAGGAGAAAAAGGCGACTCCACTTTTTGTAGTTCGGTTGAGAGAGGCTGAGAAAAACCGGAACATAGAGTTTGACATTTGAGATCGTCGTGAAATCAAGATGAGGGGTTTTTTCCGGAGTGGTGTTGGAGGTAACCTCGCTTTCGGCCATTGGAGAGAAGAGAACCGGAGAGAGGGGGGGAGTGCCGCCGCTGGAGGACTGCCGACGATGAAGGATGGGCGGCTGGAGCGCCGCTGAAACTGCCGAGAGGGAGAGAGAGGGAGCCGAGAGGTAGGATTAGGGTCTTGCCTCTTTTTTTGTTTAATTAGGCTCCGATCCCATGAAGAATAATGATTTTCATTGATCAATTGAGTTGTGATTACATGTATTTATATAAGAGGAGTGTCAATCCTAAACAAGGTAGGAGAGACACAAGGAAGGAAACCTATACAAATGAAGTAAGGGAATAATACAATATGAGTATTAAATATATACAATATATTTAACAGCCCCCCGGACAAAGCATAACATGTTGTGAAGTCTACTCCGGCATATGATCTGAGCAAGAATCTCGATCGCGTTGTCCTGATCCAAAATATTTCAATCCCATTCTTATACTGTTTTGTTTTGTTTGGGATGGAAAAAAATTAATCCTAAACATGTTCCAAACCGTTTTAAAACGAGACGGGGTCAGAACACATTATATTTTTCCGTTTTATCTAAGAGTCCTATATTTATGTATGTCTAATTAATTATTTGTATACTGATATAAGCTTGGGGTTTGAACCATCTGAAAAAAGCAAGACATGAAGCGAGGTGATTATAAATCACAAACTGTCTCATGCCCACCACTAATATGCTCAACTCATTTGTTCTTGAACTCGGTGGCATCGCATTTCAAACCATCACACCAATATATTCTATTTCAGGTCCGGATACATCTTCGTACTTACGGGCACAAAGACTCCTAAATCCATCCCGAATTATGCACGAGCATTGTGTGCCAAAATATAGGTCTACATATTGCTGGCCCTATCGTTGCCGCTAAGGTTGCTTGGGAGTTCTGAAATGGCTTTGTCGTGATCCTTGAGGGCGCTTGTCAACTTCAGTCCTTTAGTTCGCCTAATCGGTACACCGGAGCCCGATAGAGATCGGATGACTCTAATAACCCTTGATACAGGTTGAGCCAGAAGTAGAAGAATACGGAGTACTACTTAGAAAGAAGTAGTTTTATCTGCATAAACACACGATCATCCATTGACTACGAAAATCATAAATAGTACCATGCAAACTACAATAAACACCCTCCAAATAAATATAAAAACATAATTACCTGCGTACTAGTTAGTTTTCAGTTAAAAGTTAATATTGTTTGACTCTAGAAAGTCAAAAATGGACACTCTGATTAGAATAAAACTGCGTAATAAATTACATAACATATTCGGTATCATAAAACGCAAAGTGGGCATGTGGCTATATGGAAAATTCAAGGAAAGTGAAAAGACTGGTGTAACAAGTCATAAAAATATGGTGGAAAATGTGTCCCAACAATAGTGGCTTTAAAAATCTCTTAAACTTCATCTTTAATGGCAGACGGTTCGCCATCCGGCACAAGTTCAGAATCATCAACCGCCATTTGTTCTCCATCCCGCAAAGACAGAACGGTATCCTCTCCTGTGCATAGAGGCATCCTCTCTAAAAGTTCTTGGCAGTCTAGAGAAGTTACCATCACAGAGACATTAGTCCTCCCTCTCCAGCATCCAATTGCAACCGTTGATGCATCCACTTGAGGAGGATCTGAGGCGGTCCCACTTTCTGTACAAAAACGAAACACATCTATCTATATAAGACGCAGTCATGCAACAATTGTATTATCGGTAAATAAAGATTTTTGGTGGGTGCTGTGTCATGTGACCTTTGTTTAAAATAACCACACAGCAACCCAACGATAGATTTGAAGCCTTCTCTCCAAGATCGGCATCAACAAAGTTGCCAAATTTGACGCTTTTATGCTCCAATAGACGCTTGAAGTCGACGGGAGATGCATGTAAAATTTGTTTGGTTATATGGGGGAGTAGCAACGGCAACCCTTCAGATGATATTCGGAATAAGCATGGTGCCGATGTACCGTCTTTTGATGTTTGTCGCTCCTGATGAATAAAAAATTATATTTGAAAAAAGGTTCATATTCTCACAATTTTTCAAGAGGGTTAAAATAGATGAGACAGGAGCATTTTTTTTATATAAAAATAAAAGAAAATGAAGATTCTAGAGTGAGCAACTTACAAACATCTTCAGTCCAACAGAGGCTATCTTGAGCTGCTGTCCAACACGAAAATTGAGCCCAAGAACTTTCTTCACGGACTCTGATACATAGTAGATTCTCTTTACATGGTTTGTATCGCTATTTCTTGTAATTAGGTGACCATCAAATGGAAAGGATTCTTTGATGCCATAGAAATCTTTGATCTTACTGACAATTTCTTCTTCCCTGTAAAAGATAACAGGGTCGACCCCTTTCCACCTGCCTTGAATTTGTAATTTCCTTTTTCCTCTAACCATCTCCAGATTTTCTCCTATATTCTTAGAAGACTCGATATCATCTGCTTCATTTTCTTTGGGTGTTATACCAGACTCTCCATCAAAATCATTATCAACCATCCCATTATCCACTGCATCAGAATCCACTGTCGATTCAGGAAGAGAAGCTGAAATCTCTGTCAGCTTACCTTCCACTGGATCAGTATCTTCTCGGACCACGGTTTGTATCTTCTCGGTTTGAATAACACCATTAGTTGAACGCATCTTTCTGGGTAGATTAGCCTGCTTACTATCAGCTGCAAATATAAACCACCCATTTGGATGTAATGAGTTTAACACGCATAGAAACTTAAAAATACACATCGTGATCAAAATTATCACCTTAATCTCAGCTGTGTTGGGATCGATGGCATGAAATTAAATGTCTTAAATGAGTTGTATAACATTAGTTAAAACTCTAAATCCATGGATTCCATGCAACAAGGGTGCCGAAGGTTTACACTTAAAATGCATACTGAATAGCTGAGGAAGATTGGTGCAATGAAGCAAGGCATCCACCATCATTTTTATTACATATTTTCATGAAATATTTATGAATACTCTCTGTATCCCAAACAAGGTTCCATATTCCTATTTGCTCCTTATTTACTGACATATTTTTATTGATCATTTGATAAAATAAAAGTGTTGCTAAATCCACACTGTAAATGGCTATATTTGGCGAATTTAGGGGGTGGATTTAGCATCACCCAAAATAAAATAGCTAAATCACCTTTAGTTTTGTAGAACTTTTGACGTAGTTTTTAAATATATAAATTATACTCCCTCCTTTCCTATCTCACAGCAGATATGATACATGATAGGGCGTAATGGCATCGTTTGATCCGTGTAGCCAACCCCACCTAGTGGGATAAGGCTTTGTTGTTGTTGTATACTCCCTCCTTTCCTATATATTTGCCCAGTAGTCCTTTTCGAGACATCCCCATGTATCTGTCCGCTTTTCAATTAAAGAAAAGAAATAAAGTGACTTTGACTTATTTTCCTTAAGATCCGTAATGAGGCTATTCAAGGAAAGGTGGGACTAATACACTAGTACGCTAAGAATATGACCTTAGATAGGACATCTAGAAATCTAGGATTAGGATAGTTACCTTCAGGCCTTTGTTTGCCATTCATGTTGGAGTCTTTTTATGCCTTAGTTGATAGTTTTTGCATGTGTGCTTTTGGTCTGAGTTATTACTGTTGTTATGTGTGTGTATTTTGTTTGTGCTCTTACATTGTTTGAGCTACTCTGCTACTGTGTTGGAGCCAGAGGTCTATTGGAAACGGCCTCTACTTCCAAGAAGGGGTAAGGTTTGCATACCACTCCACACCCTGCATTTTGTGGATTTTTTCTGGGGTTTACTATTGTTGTTGTTGACTAATTTGCTCTCACCTAATACCTTTAACGCTCCCATCCCCAACACCAAAACGTAATAAGGGCATAATGATCCATTCATTATGTTTATTTTCATTAGTACATGTACCCAAAAAAATGTGGACAAATACATTGGGACGAAGGAAATATTTTTTTAAGTTTACACGAATCTTCAAATAAAATGATTTGAAAATAATTTCAACCAAACATCATTAACCCAACAATGAAACTTATCATAGGACGGAGGGAGAATTAATGTTAAAAAAATTACTATGTAATATTTAAAAAATAAAATCCAACAGCAACATCATAGCACCACTAAAGTAGTAGCGGCAAGAACTAACTCAAAAAATAGTAACAAGAAAGCAAGCATTGATAGATGAGTTTGTAGAGTAGTTATGGAGCAGGGAGACATAAAAGAGCCATTAGTCAGCAGCCAACAGTCTTAATTAAAAGAACTAGACTCATTAATTGAATCATAACTCAATTGCCTAAAAGCCACTAGTGCAAAAGTGTGCAAACTGCAAAGCCTCACTACTATCGCTCGAATTGGTACATCCTCATTGCTAATTTTCCCAAAATATTACTTCGGCACGCGTCAAGACCTAGCCTCATTAAACAATCAAGAACATGGTTGTAGTCATGTCTCGTTAAAAGATTGATATTATAAGGCCAAGATGTACATCATGGAAAAAGACCCTATTACAAATGCACCTACATTATGCAAATAATCAAAACAACAAAACACCAAAGTTCTAAGTATTCAAACACCAATTATAACTGGTATATACCTGGCAATGGAGAAAGCTTCTGAAATACAGCAATAAAGAATGCTCCAGTATTCTGGTCATGGGGCACTATCCTCATACAACGTTCTAAAGGTAATGTTGACACTTCCTCTTCCAAGAACTCAGAGGAAGCTGTTGTTCCTTCAGCAATCGAAGCCCCATTTGTGGATTCTCTATTGTCAACATTGTCAGTGGTGTGAATAATGGAAGAATCATTACAACTTTCAGTTCCATCCGCATAGCTTTTACCAGAAGGAAACATTCCAGGTACAATTGCAGCTCTACGAGCTTTAGGAACATCTTTGTATGAATACAACCATACTCCTTTATCACGAATCTGCAAGCATATATGAACTATTATCAAATGAAAATACATCATTCCAATGTTTATGTGCATTTTGATACATGTTACCTAGAACATACATCTTGCAAATTATAAGAAATGTGAACAAGAAGTAATATAATTTTGTGATGTTACTCCTAGGGGGCGTGCATTGTTCCACTCATTTCAGAATTCAGAATACCTTAGACTATGAGATAAATTCCCACAAGGAAATGTGAGATTGCGGAGTTAAAAGATTAACTTGTATGCTTGGTTCATACTTGATGGTATGTGAATG